AGGGTGAGTTTACTCATCCAGGTAGACGCTAGTTAAGTGACTCATTGTTAGTAGTATATATACCAAGTTTCAGCTTAATCGAGTCATTAGCTCTTTAGTTGTCAACGAGTAAACAAGACAATCGGGAAGAAACTAGTCACTATGGAGAAAATTGACTATCGCGCCGTCATTAAGTTTCTCACCAAACAAGGAAAGACACCTCAAACCATTTTTCAAGAGATCTGAGCTGTTTATGAGGACTCCGCTCCTGGGAAAACCATGATTTATAAATGGCACGCCCTTTTCAAACAAAGGAGGGATTCCATTGAAGACGACCCCTGACCTGGACGGCCGATTGAGGCTACCACGCCAGAAATAATCGAAAAAATTGAAAAACTTGTATCGGAAGATGCCCGGCTAAAAGAAAAACAGCTTGCAGCATTAGTTGGAGTATCATAAACAACCATTTTAACTAGTATGTGAAAGATGGGTTCCGAGAATGCTTTCTACGCATCAAAAACACGAGCGCGTCGAAAGTTGTCTCGAGTTTTTGGACCGTTGTGGAGAGCAAATGGGGACCTTTATGGTCCGAATTGTAACTGGCGATGAAACTTGGGTTCACCATGACGAACCTGAGTCAAAGCAAAAGTCCATGCAGTGCTATAAAAAGGCACACGCCCTCCAAAGAAGTATAAGGTGTCTCAATCGGTCGGAAAGATCATGGCGACGATCTTTTGGGATACAGAAGGTATCCTTTTGATTGATTATAAGGAACGTGATATTTCCATAACAGGAGAATACTTAAACTGCGCTTCTTTAATAGATCAATTAAAAGAAGATATTAAAGAAAAAAGGCGTGCTTCTTTTGCACGACAATGCACCCGTACACACAAGACATATTGCGATGGCTGCCATTCACCGGTGTGGTTTTGAACAACTGCGCCACCCACCCTACAGCCCAAACCTGGCGCCAAGCGACTATTGTTTCCAAAAATGAAAAACTGCGTGAGAAAAAATTTGGCGACGATGATGAAGTGAAGTCAGCAATTTCGGCCTATTTCGACGCCCAAGAAAAATCTTTTTTTAGACGGTATTAATAAGTTATTTGTCAGATCTAATAAATGTTTTAGGCTTATGGGAAAATACATTGAAAAGGAAAAATAAATGTTTCATTTCATTATCCTTCCATGTCATTCCGTACTTTTACTCCTTTCTTGTACTCCATACTTTTTGACCTCCCCTCGTATATCAGGATAAAAGGAAACTACATATTTTTGAAATCGATTTAATATTGCTATTTTACACATCGTTTTGAACTTTGATCAATCAAATGATTCCAAAAAATTGTTAAACAATTTCTCTTTCTTAAAATAACGCCAGCTCGGCGAGTTTACATCAATGTTGTCTACTGCACAACAAAATAATGGAGGCAATTTCTAATATTTCATCAACTTACGTAATAATAATCAAATGTCTAACGACAATAGAGAAATTAGATTTTTATTACGTTTTAGTTACCATTGAATATTATACCATAGACCATAATAAACGTATCAAATCTTAAAATTTTTTTGGAGCGTGTGGGATGCAACAATTTGATATTAATTTACCATATTTGTCTAATCTAATAGACTATGTACAAGAAAAGATAATGTATTAATCAAAATAATATAAACTTGTTAACAATTTTCTTCACGACCTGTAAATATAGCGAAATTATTTGAGTTTTGAACGACAGTTTAACTCAGCAAATAGTCGTCGATAATGCATCTCATCTCCTGAGTGGACACAATATCATGAGATTTTTATCATCATCGAAGTTTCATGTGCTAACACATAAATTACACAACATCGCACCACTGTTACGTATCCAAATCCATTTCAAACAATGATTACATTACATTATAAGAGCAGCAGAGTGCTGTCAAGTTCCTGCCAAATTCTTTTTATTTATGTCCAGAATTATTTACAAATGAGTTGCGAAATATAGGTTATTCTAATTTTTGGTAGTTACTAAATACTGTTCGACGAGTTGATATATATTATAAAAACGTCTCGCAATAACGATTGTCGCTTCATATCGCAATCTGTGTGACAAGCGTCGCTTATCGCTGCCAAACAGTTTTGTGGTATGAGGCTTGCAGCTATTGTAAAGCACAACGCCGTACGGGCGACAGATATTTTGTCATGTTAAAAACAATAAATAATAAATATGTTAGGTTTTAATTTTTTATATCCTTTATAGCGTCTTTCCCTACAAAAGTAGTAAAAATAGTATCTAATGACCATAAGAAACTGTTAACAATACAAGCGTTTCATTATTTTTTATTATCAGCAAAAATAATTAGCGGGTCACAATTAGTAACAAGTTTACTTTAAGAACCCTGATTTTTTTTATCAACTCTCGCCGAATAGACTTTATAAAAGTAACGAATAACAAATATTTTAGCTTTTACAAGAATGTATAACATCATTTTAATCTCCATTAAGTACAGTATGAGAAATATTTGAAATTGCCTTACAATTTATTTTAATAGAAACAATTCATTATGTAACAAATTATACAATACGTACGTCACACTGTTATTTCGTTACTAGTAAGTTCGTTACAAGGGAACATACAGATGGAAATGTCTGAGTGATTAGAAAATAGTTTTTTTTTAAAATATATTGTGCTATGTATTGTGTGAATATTTGTTATCTATACACGGGTCCGATATTTGGATATCGGTTCATCATTTGCATATGCCATGGATGTCACGTAGTGCAAAATATAATTGTATATACATTTAATATACAACGAATTATTGAAATAACGTCAACGATAGTTAAGACATTGAAGTATATGCACTACATACTAGAAGAGAAACCGAGGCTTGTTCGATTGCAACACAAGTTGGAACCCATGGACTCTAAACTTAATTAGTTTGTGTCATAAAAAGGTAATATGTACTCTTTGCACAGTCTAACTACTACTAACACTCGGTCATCTAAGGCGTCTAGAAGAGGCAATCGTGCGGTTTGGTGCGACCCGAGACGCGGGCAGACTGTCCGCTAGGGTTGTCCTGTCACGCAATGTGCGGTAAAACACTGTGGGTCGTCCTCATTTAAAGATAAAGAATTAAAAGTTTTATCAATTTCCACATACATAGAAAATTGTTTAAATGTGAAATAAAATAAAAACGGTTTTTTTATTTTTTTATGACTTCCCGTTCTGACAACCCTAGCAATTTATTGTTTATGTCGGCTTTTCCGACAAAATGAAACGCGATGACTGAGTGTATGTTCTTCTCAGACTGTGCTCTTTGTCTTCATCCACGCGACCCGCACTGCCGCACCAAATTTAATTACGGTGTCTGTTCTAGCAGGTAGTACATATTTCTTTAATGGGTTCTGATCGCGTTGTTAGTCGGACGAGAAAATATTTTTTTAATCTCAGTTTGTAAACTAGTCACCCGGTGAATTTAAACAGTGGTACCCTTGACTTGCATAATATTATATATTTACAAATGGAGAAAAGAAACTGATTGAAGACATCATAAACATAAATCTAAAAGGTAGATATGTCACAGGGATAATGTAAATATTATAATCTCACTATAATATGACATAATTGCACAGATTTTTGTAGATTGTTCTCATACACTACCCTAAGTCATACCGCGCGTGCCGTAAGAAGCGACAGAGGAAAACTTTTTTTATAGAATAAGGGTGACAAACGAGCACACAGTCCTCCTGATGGTAAGCGGATGCTGTAGCCCATAGACATCTATATTTATTCTCAATTAAGAATCAAAATGCAAATGCGTTGTCAACCCTGAGGACTGCGATGGAACTCCTCGTTTCCAGTAAAAAAGGGTCGCCAGTTCAAGGATAGCATTAAGCTGCTATTTTACGCTGGTATTCTAGGAGCGTGGTCCTACCCCGGTCACCCATTCGTGCTACAACCACAATATAGTTGCAGCATGGCTCTACCACGCAAAAAAAAACAAAAATAGGAGATGGGCAACAGCATCTTCCTGATAACAAAAAAAACTGCGGTTAACAACCTACTTGCCTAGCGTGGCAAGTATCTAGGCCTTTTCAATCGTCGAGGCCTTCGTTCAGAAGTAGATTTGATAGGCTGCTATGAATAATAGACCCATTTCTTACGGATTAATTTCAATGATACTATATTTAGGTATGAAGCGACAGTAGCCTAGTAGTTACTGTAAACTCGGAAAGTCGTCGGTTCCAATCCGCCATTCGACTACTGTTGTGAATTACTTCGAACAAGCATTTTAAGCTTACTTAGTGTTTAACTGGAAGTATTAGTTAAGTAACAGTATTCTTTAATAAATTCCAGAAATATTATAAGAGAAAGGTTTAAAATAATCTCACTGGATGGGTATTGCCATTCGATTACGCCTTTTTAGAATTTTTGTTTTTACAAATTTATAATAGTGTATATTTTTAGATATATAAGTCTTTTTTGGAAACCGTAAATATTTTCATGTTTTATTTAGGATTTTCCAAAAAAAATCTGTATCAGAAAGGCAGTTTTACACAAATTGCACAAGGGCAAATATCCAGACCCGGAACAATTATTTGTAGCCCATACAAATACTTGTTCCGTGCGAAATATGAGTCCGCGGCCCTCAGCGCCGCAACTCAATGAATGCACATATTAGACTATACACGCGTTGATATTAATAATAAATTAATTTCACAGTCCTATATCACAAGACATGACTGACAAAAATCCGTGCGATTATGTTATGGAGGCCGTAATATAATATCACGGCTATGATGATAAACCTGCGACATAAACAATGTGCAAGAAAAACTGTGGCTCTAGTTGAGAGCGAAAGAGATGCAGCGTAACACCATCACCATCTAAAACTTACGTATAACATATTTAGATTATGATGGTGTAATCGCTTTACGATGATTACATGATGTGATCCGTGTTATGCAGAAATGATCCAACCCTCAAGCTGCCCAACATAATGATCCAAAGTTTTTATTTTTATTGTTTATTTCTAAGTATGAAAGTAATCCCAAAATCTACATTCAATTTTCTTTAAAATGGTATACATAATATGATTTTTAAATCTGAATAACTTTATGCTTTTGTGGGTTTAATATTTCTACATAACACGGTCCATTTAGAGAATGTAAAAAAAAAATGGTGAATTAATGTGTTGCCATCATATTTGAATTATACGAAAACGGATATAATTATTTTGTATAAAAATGTTGAGTGATTATGAATAAATGTCAAAACACAGAACGTTAAAAATAATTCGTCTCATTGGTCTTTAAAATTTAAATACTCGTACTACAAAAGTTATGACAGCTTGAATTATAAAGTCTATACAAAAACAAAACAACACATAGACATTTTAGCATTTTCATTCCAGAAACATGACAGTTAAGGCTTTTATTCGTAGGAAAAAGAAATTATCTTTTAGTGTGTAAAATTTTTGAACCTCGTTTTTTTTTGTAAAAAATCCAAAAAAGCAAACCAATCGAAAAAATGACATGTAATTTCGCCTCAATAAGTTATTTCTTACAAATTTGCAGAACTGAAATTGATCAGTTGTATGTCATCAAAAGTTGTGTGAAGATAAAAACAGCTTGGAACTTTACACCGAACACTAGGGTATCAAGCAATACTTGGAGGTATTTTTTTCATCAGATTTTATAAAAAAACGACTAGTTCAAAGCCTGCCGACGAGTAAGAAACATATGTATAAATTCTAATATATTCAAACACTAACAACTATGTATTTCAACTATTTGGTTTGAAGAATACATGGTGTGTAATTTCCTTAATCGAATCACTAAAAACGATCGCTAAGCCCTAATTTATGTAACTGACTGTACAAAGTTCTGCCCAGCGAATCAAAGTTATTTGTGTCACACTTTACATGACCGAAAAAGTTCTACTGGAAAGCGTCCGTTTTTATTAACTTTTTTGATGGACGTGTTTTGTGTGCCTTTATTACCACTAGCCATATGTGATGTCTAGCTCAAATGTTGTCCTAACCATAATTAAAAAAAGTAACTATATACAGATATGGACCCAGGATAGTAAAAATATTTGAACTTTAATTTACCTTCACATTTATTTTAGTGATTTTTAAATTTAATGATAATATTTCAAGACAAAAGTAATTCATTTTGTTTGTTTTTTTTTCTATCTTGAGTTCATGCCTGTTCTGGACTTTTGTCTATGAGTAAGGGAATACAGTTCAAAATTATCTTTCCTCAACAGCTGTACACATGTCTCATATATGTACGAAGACAAGGTATATATAATTATAGATAGTCTAGTTTCATGATACCTAAATAGTCTAGATATAACATAACAGATATAATAAAAATCTTAGTGCCTGCTCCGTGAATGCTAATTTAACCGAATAAAAAACTATGTAAATAGCCTTAAAAAGCTTAACCCTGTAATTCCTTTTAGAATAAGCTGACCCATTTGCTTTATAATGTAACGGGAGTACAAAGGTGTTAATTATTAACCTAACAAAATATTTGTACATCGCCAGCGTGTGTCACTGAAGAGTGCAAGTAACGCCTTTGTGTATTTGAGACTGTATGGTAATTGTCTTTCGATAGTATCTACTCTTATGCGTGGCATTCATTGAAAAAGACATTGTTCAACAGTGGACTTGTGAAGAGGGTTGTCGTGATGATGATGATGATAAGTATATCCACAACTGCTGAGAGGTACGTTCGTTGTACTTACGCTTGCCAGTTGTATAATATATTTCTGAACTATTTACCGATATAAAATTAAAAATTAAAAAACTTCAACATTTTTTATACCCGGTAAGTCCATGTTGCTACTGGGTCCAGGAAAGGACCACATTCTCACAGAATAGCAGTGTAAAGTAGCAGCTTAATACTGCTGTGTTTCGTATGGTGAGTGTAGAGAACCGAAGAACTTTTTAAGTGGAAACGAGGCATTCTACGTTAGTCCTCAGGGAAGACAACGCATCTGAATTTTGATTCTAAACCGAGGAAAGATATCTATATATCACTATAAATCACGGCATCCACTTACTGTGTTTTAAAACCATTAAAAATATATATTATGTATATAATAATATATTCTAAATAAGAGAACAGAAATATTGTTAGCATTTATGGAAAGTTAGTTTGGAAGCGACTTTAGTTGGTAACTCAATAATAACCAAAAATAATAAGCCAGAAGAATACATGTTTATTCCTCTATTCTAGATTGTTTTATCTATCAAAGGATATTTTATTAGAAGCATTATCTATTTATCTATGTGTAGGCATACGCGCACGAGTCAAACTAGCTTCCACGAGCAGACACGAAACCAATCGCAACTGATTCGGTATACTTTGTACATGATAGTTACGTAGTGTTAACTACTCTATTGTCATAAAGCAAGTGCCACACTAGGACGGTGTAAATTGCTAGTATATACAAGAATGTACTCCACGAAAAATTGAGTAAAAAAGAACTTGTAATAAGTAGCAGCGGTTACCGTAAGAAAAATAATGATTTCAAATTCGTCGCCAATACGAGACAAGTGGTAAAATTAAAAACTTTGTACAACCGACTTCAACTATAAATTATTAAGAATAACTCAAAAGTACTGGTCAGACCTTGATCAAATCGGGCCACATGAGAAGCCCTAGCTTTCAAATAAAAAGAGAATCATCAAAATCGGTTCGCCTAGAAAAAAGTTATGAGGTAACACATAAAAAATACAGTCGAATTGAGTGCCTCCCCCTTTATGAAGTCGGTAAAAATCGGTTCTTAATAACACATTTCGGGCCCATTTTGAGTATTTTGTTAAATAGATTCCATTATGTGGTAGGTTTATGACTGTGTCCTTTCCTAATAAGCAGTGATGTGTTTTTTTATAAAGTTTACAAAGTTTTATTAAATTAACTTTAACGTGATTAACGTTGAAGGGCCCTTTTGCATATTACGCTAATCGCACACCGTCATAGTGTGACTTTGCACTTATTCTCACAGCGCGTGTGACTTAGAGATAACCTAAGAATAAGACATTGCGATGTCATTTGCCCATTTTTATATACATGAAAGCTTTTCGGGACATTTTGTCCCAGCCGTGACATTATGGGATAGAAGTCCCGCAATTGAATAAAAATTCGGCAAATCGACCTCTCTAAAATTATATTTACAAGTTGTTGATTGGTGTTTGCTGCGCACAAAAAATTATGTTATTCTATTTTTGTTGGGCATATAAGTTGGTGGAAGTGACATAAATCTGGTGCAAAAGAATATGACGAAGATGTTGTATATTATCTGAGGGTAGTTACATACGTAATATTGACAGCAGTAGAGTGTTCAACTTCACATTGTCACCTTATAATGCTAAATCCTTTCTCACTGAGAAGCCTCAAGACAAGATCTGACAGGCCAAAGACCGGACATTGGCAGAATTATTATGACCTAACCATAATATCAAAGGCCATATTGAAGAAGAAAAAACTTTATTTATGACAGTAGACAATACTGTACATGCCAATATTAATGTTAATTTTTTTATTTTACAAGCTGACATTTGATCACTGTTACATGTGTAACCAACCCCAGGGTCAAATCGAGTGTTACTTTTTACACTATTCGCTTCTCTTTCAAACATTTATGTTATTAAAATAATTAATTTAAAACAAGATTTGTTTTTCTTATACAAAATGAAAACCTAATTTATCATAGAAAAAAATAACATGATGTACTGTAGAAAGGAAAAAAAATTCATAGCGGAATGTAGGATTTCATAATTTATTTATAAAAAAATCTACTTTATAAAAAATCTACTTGCACCATTCAATTTATAAAATATAAATCCCCTCTCTAAACTGTAAGGTAAAAATGTTTCTTTTAAAGAAATAATACTGTCACATTGCACTTCAGATAGAAATATTTAATCTGTCCTTATTTATGTATGTATTTGAAATTTCATTTTCCATGTTACTGTTGAATTATTTTACGAGTTTTTTTTAAGAACAAAAGTAAATAGTTGATCAATCCAAAATTGTATATTTACCACAGTTTTATATAGAGTAATATATAATATGTAAATAATTTAAAAAATATAACAATATTTTATCTTGTATGTGACATTGCAAAAGCGGTGTTATACAACTGTTGCACAATTTTGTGAAGACATTTTTTTTATTAAGTAGTTTAATTTTTTTTAAAACAAATATCATCTATGATGATTCCGAAAACATAAACAATGAAAACAACCATCTCACATCGCAGTGAGTATGAAAGAGACGCGTACAGTTTAAGAGCACACTTGTTTACAATGCAGATAACGAAAACCGTAGAAAAGTCCAGTCCTACTACAGTAGGCGGCTACAAAATATACACCGTCTATTTATAAGCGCTAATCACAATTATTTAAAAACAAACTTAAAAAACGTTTTAACTATATTAACACTATATGTATATTTGAATAGAAGCTGGGGTCTAACAGGTGAAAAAATAATAAATAGGATCGAGCGCCGTTGCGCCCCTCAATTTGTACAAAAGCCCATGTTTATCTGAAAAAAAGATAAAATTCATTGTAACCAATTTAATCAACTTTGCATTTCGTCTCTGCGGTTATGTAGTTATACAGCCTGGAAATAGCCCTAATAATCCCAAATTGTCCTGACTAAGCTTTTGATATTAGATTACTCCTAAACATGATAATTGCAAGTAGCCATAATCTTAAAGTGACATGTTGACCACGAATTGTGCTCATTCAGCTTTTGATATTGGATTACTGAAAACATGTTATGAAGTGTAACATAACAGAATATGCTGACTCCACTGTATAATTGTTGTTGCTGGTCAAACCCAGACGCGATACTTTCAGTCAACAGACTTGTTTTGACCATTCTATAAAAGCCCTTGCATTTAGAGTAAGATTCATTATAATTCTTATCGTAGTAATGTAATCACTTAGTTAAAGAAGTCAGTATTGCACTGAAATATAGTTCTAATGCCTAATTGTAATGTTATAGTATTAAATGTCATCGAGAATTTAGTCCTCTACGTGCTGTGTGAATGACTGTGTGTATGATTGAATGTAAGAGTGTATGTACGATTGTGCGTACGATCGTATGATGACTGTTAGTATGACTGTATGAATGGTTTTATATTAAAACTATGTGTAAGAATGTCGAAATGTGTTCACGAGTGTACAAAACAACTGTGTACAACTGTATGTACATCTGAATGTGCAGCAGTGTGTACAGTGTGCGGTGTGTGTACACGTACCTGCTACCACAGGCGGTGCAGGTGCAGGTTGTGTGTATGTGCAGCAGTGTGTATGTGCAGCAGTGAGTACAGTGAGCGGTGTGTGTACACGTACCTGCTACCACAGGCGGTGCAGGTGCAGGTTGTGTGTATATGCAGCAGTGTGTACAGTGAGCGGTGTGTGTACACGTACCTGCTACCACAGGCGGTGCAGGTGCAGGTTGTGTGTATGTGCAGCAGTGTGTACAGTGAGCGGTGTGTGTACACGTACCTGCTACCACAGGCGGTGCAGGTGCAGGTTGTGTGTATGTGCAGCAGTGTGTACAGTGAGCGGTGTGTGTACACGTACCTGCTACCACAGGCGGTGCAGGTGCAGGTTGTGTGTATATGCAGCAGTGTGTACAGTGAGCGGTGTGTGTACACGTACCTGCTACCACAGGCGGTGCAGGTGCAGGTTGTGTGTATGTGCAGCAGTGTGTACAGTGAGCGGTGTGTGTACACGTACCTGCTACCACAGGCGGTGCAGGTGCAGGTTGTGTGTATATGCAGCAGTGTGTACAGTGAGCGGTGTGTGTACACGTACCTGCTACCACAGGCGGTGCAGGTGCAGGTTGTGTGTATGTGCAGCAGTGTGTACAGTGAGCGGTGTGTGTACACGTACCTGCTACCACAGGCGGTGCAGGTGCAGGTTGTGTGTATGTGCAGCAGTGTGTACAGTGAGCGGTGTGTGTACACGTACCTGCTACCACAGGCGGTGCAGGTGCAGGTTGTGTGTATGTGCAGCAGTGTGTACAGTGAGCGATGTGTTTACACGTACCTGCTACCACAGGCGGTGCAGGTGCAGGTTGTGTGTATGTGCAGCAGTGTGTACAGTGAGCGGTGTGTGTACACGTACCTGCTACCACAGGCGGTGCAGGTGCAAGTTGTGTGTATATGCAGCAGTGTGTACAGTGAGCGGTGTGTGTACACGTACCTGCTACCACAGGCGGTGCAGGTGCAGGTTGTGTGTATGTGCAGCAGTGTGTACAGTGAGCGGTGTGTGTACACGTACCTGCTACCACAGGCGGTGCAGGTGCAGGTTGTGTGTATATGCAGCAGTGTGAACAATGAGCGGTGTGTGTACACGTACCTGCTACCACAGGCGGTGCAGGTGCAGGTTGTGTGTATATGCAGCAGTGTGTACAGTGAGCGGTGTGTGTACACGTACCTGCTACCACAGGCGGTGCAGGTGCAGGTTGTGTGTATGTGCAGCAGTGTGTACAGTGAGCGGTGTGTGTACACGTACCTGCTACCACAGGCGGTGCAGGTGCAGGTTGTGTGTATGTGCAGCAGTGTGTACAGTGAGCGGTGTGTGTACACGTACCTGCTACCACAGGCGGTGCAGGTGCAGGTTGTGTGTATGTGCAGCAGTGTGTACAGTGAGCGGTGTGTGTACACGTACCTGCTACCACAGGCGGTGCAGGTGCAGGTTGTGTGTATATGCAGCAGTGTGTACAGTGAGCGGTGTGTGTACACGTACCTGCTACCACAGGCGGTGCAGGTGCAGGTTGTGTGTATGTGCAGCAGTGTGTACAGTGAGCGGTGTGTGTACACGTACCTGCTACCACAGGCGGTGCAGGTGCAGGTTGTGTGTATATGCAGCAGTGTGTACAGTGAGCGGTGTGTGTACACGTACCTGCTACCACAGGCGGTGCAGGTGCAGGTTGTGTGTATATGCAGCAGTGTGTACAGTGAGCGGTGTGTACACGTGCCTGCTACCACAGGCGGTGCAGGTGCAGGTTGTGTGTATATGCAGCAGTGTGTACAGTGAGCGGTGTGTGTACACGTACCTGAGACCACAGGCGGTGCAGGTGCAGGTTGTGTGTATATGCAGCAGTGTGTACAGTGAGCGGTGTGTGTACACGTACCTGCTACCACAGGCGGTGCAGGTGCAGGTTGTGTGTATGTGCAGCAGTGTGTACAGTGAGCGATGTGTTTACACGTACCTGCTACCACAGGCGGTGCAGGTGCAGGTTGTGTGTATGTGCAGCAGTGTGTACAGTGAGCGGTGTGTGTACACGTACCTGCTACCACAGGCGGTGCAGGTGCAAGTTGTGTGTATATGCAGCAGTGTGTACAGTGAGCGGTGTGTGTACACGTACCTGCTACCACAGGCGGTGCAGGTGCAGGTTGTGTGTATGTGCAGCAGTGTGTACAGTGAGCGGTGTGTGTACACGTACCTGCTACCACAGGCGGTGCAGGTGCAGGTTGTGTGTATATGCAGCAGTGTGAACAATGAGCGGTGTGTGTACACGTACCTGCTACCACAGGCGGTGCAGGTGCAGGTTGTGTGTATATGCAGCAGTGTGTACAGTGAGCGGTGTGTGTACACGTACCTGCTACCACAGGCGGTGCAGGTGCAGGTTGTGTGTATGTGCAGCAGTGTGTACAGTGAGCGGTGTGTGTACACGTACCTGCTACCACAGGCGGTGCAGGTGCAGGTTGTGTGTATATGCAGCAGTGTGTACAGTATGCGGTGTGTGTACACGTACCTGCTACCACAGGCGGTGCAGGTGCAGGTTGTGTGTATGTGCAGCAGTGTGTACAGTGAGCGATGTGTTTACACGTACCTGCTACCACAGGCGGTGCAGGTGCAGGTTGTGTGTATATGCAGCAGTGTGTACAGTGAGCGGTGTGTGTACACGTACCTGCTACCACAGGCGGTGCAGGTGCAGGTTGTGTGTATATGCAGCAGCGTGTACAGTGAGCGGTGTGTGTACACGTACCTGCTACCACAGGCGGTGCAGGTGCAGGTTGTGTGTATGTGCAGCAGTGTGTACAGTGAGCGGTGTGTGTACACGTACCTGAGACCACAGGCGGTGCAGGTGCAGGTGCAGGTTGTGTGTATATGCAGCAGTGTGTACAGTGAGCGGTGTGTGTACACGTACCTGCTACCACAGGCGGTGCAGGTGCAGGTTGTGTGTATGTGCAGCAGTGTGTACAGTGAGCGATGTGTTTACACGTACCTGCTACCACAGGCGGTGCAGGTGCAGGTTGTGTGTATATGCAGCAGTGTGTACAGTGAGCGGTGTGTGTACACGTACCTGCTACCACAGGCGGTGCAGGTGCAGGTTGTGTGTATATGCAGCAGTGTGTACAGTGAGCGGTGTGTGTACACGTACCTGCTACCACAGGCGGTGCAGGTGCAGGTTGTGTGTATGTGCAGCAGTGTGTACAGTGAGCGGTGTGTGTACACGTACCTGCTACCACAGGCGGTGCAGGTGCAGGTTGTGTGTATATGCAGCAGTGTGTACAATGAGCGGTGTGTGTACACGTACCTGCTACCACAGGCGGTGCAGGTGCAGGTTGTGTGTATATGCAGCAGTGTGTACAGTGAGCGGTGTGTGTACACGTACCTGCTACCACAGGCGGTGCAGGTGCAGGTTGTGTGTATGTGCAGCAGTGTGTACAGTGAGCGGTGTGTGTACACGTACCTGCTACCACAGGCGGTGCAGGTGCAGGTTGTGTGTATATGCAGCAGTGTGTACAGTGAGCGGTGTGTGTACACGTACCTGCTACCACAGGCGGTGCAGGTGCAGGTTGTGTGTATGTGCAGCAGTGTGTACAGTGAGCGGTGTGTGTACACGTACCTGCTACCACAGGCGGTGCAGGTGCAGGTTGTGTGTATATGCAGCAGTGTGTACAGTGAGCGGTGTGTGTACACGTACCTGCTACCACAGGCGGTGCAGGTGCAGGTTGCGGGAGAGCACAGAGCGCACGTCGTGCGTGAAGCGCAGCGCGTCCAGCACCGGCAGCAGGTTCAGCAGCGCCACGTCCAACGGGTCCGAGAACCACGACTTTATCGGAATCGCGTTGTCTATAACACAACATTCATTCAATTCAATTATATGATATATTTACGAGGGCGACACTGAATAAAATATAAATATAAATAAAACAATAAAAGAGAATAAAAAAATAAGTTCAAGTTTTGAAAATGGAACTCTTTGAATTTGTCATTTGCTTACGATTTGGCGGCATATCAATTACAAGTGGCCAGTTCTAAAAACTTTCAGTGTATCACAGTGGTAGAGCCACGCGGCAGTTTTTGCTGTCGCACGGATGGGCCGGCTCGAACTGGGGTGGTACCACGATCTCACAGAATACCAGCGTGAAGTAGAAAATTACTTCTGCGTTTCGCTTGGTAAGTGCTTGCAAAATTCCGCTCGCGACTAATACTGCTCGGGGCAAGAGGAGCAATAAGACCAAGGCGACCCCTTTCACGCTATCCGTGAATTTTTTCAACATCAGGGGATTTCATTCCAACATTAACGCTGTCCATTACCATCTAGAGACGGCGAAGCCGTGTTTGCTCTTTTTAACCGAGACTCAGGTGTCCTCTCCGGGTAATACTTCATATCTATCCTACCCGGGGTACAAATTTGAACACTCCTTTGTGCCCCGGACTGGAGTTTGCGTATACGTCAGAGAGGACATCTGTTTTCGACGCCTCAGCAGTCTTGAAGGTACGGACCTGTCCATCCTAAGACTGTGCGTAGACAGCGACGACCATCCCCGCGTCTACGGGTGCCTCTATAGGTCCCATAGCGGTAATGCCGACACAGACCGACTCATCGACCACGTCCAAATGGCTACAGACTCCGTGCTACAACAGGTCCCATCCGCAGAGATCGTGATATTCAGTGATTTTAACGCCCACCACGCTGAATAGCTTGGTTCCCATTTAACCGATCATGCGAGTAGATCTGTGATGACTTTGCTTTGGCATATGGTTTAACACAACTGGTTACTTCGCCTACGCGGATCTCAGATATGGAGGATCATGTACCTTCCCTGTTGGACCTTCTGCTGACCTCTCATCCGGACGTATATCAGGTCTCCGTCGATGCCCCTCTGGGCTCTTCGGACCATTGTCTGATCCGGAGTACAGTGCCACTCACGCTCCCATCACAGTTGCGATCTGCAGCATGTCGCCGTGTTTGGCACTATAGGTCGGCCGATTGGGACGGGATGCGGTCTTTTTTTGCATCCTACTCTTGGGAGCGGGTTTGCTTCTCGCAGGAAGATCCCAGCGTTGTTGCCGATTCTGTTGCTGATGTGTTACTTCAGGGTATGGAACTTTTTATTTCACCCTATGTGGTGACCATCGGAGGCAGATCCCAGCCATGGTTTGGTCGCTCCTGTAAAATAGCATCACGCTATAAGCAGGAGTGCTACCGGGCCTGGGCTGATGCATTAACGTCCCGGGATACAAAAACCAGCGCTCTTAAAAAGAAATATAATTCCGCCTTCAGGTCCTTCAAAAGTGTTATTACTAAAGTCAGAGCACATCGGCAGAATTGGCGAGAAACTAGTTCGTCTCCCTTCGGGAACACGTGCATTCTTGTCTCTCGCCAAGGCTGTCCAAGGGAACTTCTGTCAGCCATCTCTGCACAGGGTGGATGACTCACTGGCCCATGACGCAAAGGAGAAAGCCGATCTGCTAGGCTCTCTTTTTGCTTCCAACTCGACTCTAGATGACGGGGGGAACACACCGCCGACCATCCCGCGGTGTGAGTGCTCCATGCGGGAAGTGCTGTTTACACAGCGCTCGGTGCGTAAAGCACTCCTCTCCCTGGACGTCAACAAGTCGAGTGGACCTGATGGAGCCCCACCTATTGTGCTGAAGACGTGTGCTCCGGAGTTGGTACCGGTTTTAACGCGTCTTTTTCGGTACTCCTACTCCCTAGGCCTAGTCCCGAACTCATGGAAGGCAGCTTTGGTGCACCCGATCCCTAAAAAAGGCGACCGCTCAGATCCGTCCAACTACAGGCCTATCGCTCCTTGTTATCAAAAGTGTGGCGGCGCTGTCTTCAGCAGTTAAAGCAGCATATATAGAATAGCTACGAACTACCACTCGGACCGTTAGCCGCTCCCCGGGCAGAACATCTTGCCCGGCGGGAGATCTCCCCTTTTCCTTCCACCGGCTACAAAAGTAATTGAAACCATTATTAACAGCCAGCTCATGCGGTATCTTGAGGATCGCCAGCTTATTAGTGACCGCCAGTTAAACAACAAACTTTGTTAAACAAAGTCTCAGACTGGGGTCGACTAAATCTAGTCCAGTTCAAAAAAAGAACCCCTTTGTCGTATCTCCTCAGTTTCAAGGCACTTCCCTTGTTGCCTCAGCCAGTATCGGTGTCGTCGGTGTCGATATATCGAGTGACGTGCAGTTTCGTGGTCACTTGGAAGAGAAGGCCAAATTGGCCTCTAAAAAGCTTGGCGTGCTAAGCAGAGCGGGACAGTATTTCATGCGGCCACACCACTTGCAACTTTACAAGGCGCAGGTTCGGCCTCATATGGAATACTGTTCCCATCTCTGGGCAGGGGCTCCCCAGTGCCAGCTCCTTCCACTTGACCGCAACCAGCGCAGAGCGGTTCAAATCGTCGACGACCGAGTTATTTCCGATCGCCTTGACTCACTGGCACTGGGTAGAGATGTTGCATCTCTTTGCGTATTTTATCGCATCTACCACGGGGAGTGCTCTGAGGAATTGTTTGGACTAATTCTAGCCGCTCAATTTCACCATCGCACATCGCGACAAAACTCGCGATACCATCCATATCATCTGGATGATTGGCGGTCCACCACTGTGCGATTTAGAAGAAGTTTTCTCCCTCGCACAACTTCCTTCTGGAATCGATTACCACCAGCGATTTTTCCGGACCGATACGACTTAAGGACCTTTAAGAAAAGAGCCTACTCCTTTTTAAAACCGCCAACGCATCTGCCATGTTTTGAGGATCGAAAAAGAGTTACTGTAGAGTGTTACACTAACAATTATTTGCCATTTGTCTTGGAAAGAGTTCGGGAGAAACGACCTCGCAGTAGGATCCTCTTTCACCACGACAACGCCTCGACACACACCACCAAGCAAACAATCGACTGCTTGGCGACGTCGGCGACGACGGCGAATTACTGGGTCACCCGCCCTATAGCTCCGACCTCGCACCCAGGACTCGGAACCGGTTTAAAAAGAGCGGTTAATTTCGATTAATTACCAGTAAATTTATCGCTCTTTCAATTACCGGTTAAAAAATTAACCGGTGTTTATTAAACCTAAACGATAAAGGTTACCGGTTACTTAATGGTTTTGACATCCAAATTAACCATTTAATTCCGTAAAACGTAAAAGCAGTTATGAATAGGACAGGTAGATTCACGTTGTAAGGTGCGGCATCGCCGCATGCGGGCATACTTATCATCAATTATATGCCTTTAAGCGATACGTTTTTCAGTCGCGATCAGGGTGTCTAGTGGGAGTTTGGCGTTTACGAAAAACGTGAAAGTATTAGAGAAGTTTTAAAGAAAAAAGGCAGATATTGTGTTTGGTTTATTCGTTAAGACTGGACTGGTCTCATAACGAAGATAATAATTTATTCATGTGTATCGGTTGTTTATTTATGACTAGCTGTTCCCCGTGACTTCGCCCGCGCGTAATTTATTACGATTGGATTTCACGGGTTTTCATTTTTTGCGCGGAATCCTAATTCTTTTTCTAAAATAAAAGTAGCCTAAGTTACTTCTTATAACATCAGCTATCTGCCAGTGAAATTCAAGTTAAAATCGGTCCAGCCGTTTCGGAGATTAGCCGGAACAAACAGACAGACAGAAAGACAGGCAGACAAAAAATTCAAAAATCGTGTTTATGTCACAGTTTGCGTCATACACATATAGTAAAAAGCTGTTATTTCGGCATTACAAACAGACACTTCAATTTTATTTATTTGTATAGATGGGCAGAAAAAAAGTAAATAGAATTTATTCCATGTTTACGTTTTAACAGTGGTAGTAGTACGCGTCAGCTTTTGCTGTCGCATGGACGGGCCAGCTCGAACCAGGATAGTACCTCGGCCTCACGGAATACCAGCCTACTGTTCCTGAGGGGGGGGGGGGGGATAGAGGGTATCCGCAGGGATCGTGATCCTTGGCGATTTTAACGACCATCACGCCGAATGGCTCGGATCAAATTTAACCGATCATGTAGGTAAATGTGTTTATGACTTTGCCTTGGCATATGGTCTTACACAGCTGGTTACTTTGCACGGATTCCAGATGTGGAGGAACATGCACCTTCCCTGTTGGAACTTCTGCTGACCTCTCATCCGGACGGATATCAGGTTTCCATCGACACCCCTCATGGCTCCTAACGCTATTGTCTTGTCCGGAGGGTGGTGTCACTCACACTATCGTCGCGGTTGCATTCTGCAGGCTGCCTCCGTGTTTGGCACTATAGGTCGGCCGATTGGGAAAGGATGCGATCTTTTTTTGCATCCTACTCTTCAATTTTCCCCGGAGTTTCTTCTGGACAATCCCAGCAATGTTTCTGATTCTGAGGCAGATTCCAGCCATGGTTTGGTCGCTCATGTAAAATAGCATCACACTAAGCAGGAGTGCTACCAGGTCTGGGCTGACGACATCATTACATCCCGAGACGTTGATATTTCGGGATGTATACACCAGCGCTCTTCAAAAGAAGTATAATTCCGCCTCCAGGTTCTTCAAAATTCATTGCCAAGGCAAGGTCAGGGCACATCGGCGGAGTTGGTGAGAGGCTAGTTCGCCTTACTTCGGTAACCCGTGCATTCTGGTCTCCTTCCAAGGCTGTCCAAGGAAACTTCTGTCAGCCATCTCTGCATAGGGAGGGTGACTCACTGAGTCAATGCCGCAAAGGAGAAAGCCGATCTGTTAATCTCTCTTTTTGTGTCCAACTCGACTCTCGATGACATGGGAACACACCGTCGACCATCCCGCGGCTTGAGTGCTTCATGCCAGATGTGCGGTTTACACAGCGCTCGGTTTGCAAAGCACTCCTCTCCCTGGTCGTCAACAAGTCGAGTGGGCCTGATGGAGTCCCTCCCATTGTGCTGAAGACGTGTGCTCCGAAGTTGGCACCGGTTTCATCGCGTCTTTTTCGGTACTTCGACTGCCGCCCTCGTATTAAGGAGTCAAAGCGCTTCTCATTATATTTACATGACTTTACCAGATCATTCATGGCCAATATGTGTTGTTTTATCTCATCTTGAGCCGATGCATATTTATTTGATACAACTTCCCACATGATAGATGAAGAGATTAAAAAATAGATTGAGTTAAAACAATTGATATTTTCAAAAGTTATCGTGTTTACCACTCCATGCGGACTTAATAAATTTACACCATAAGTCACTAAAACCACTTTTTTATGTAAAAATAGCAATTAATCGATTTAAAAAAAATATTAATAAGTTCAACAATCATTTATCTTTCTGACATGCCTACGCGCTTTGCGCTTAAAGCATGCGAAACAATACTTTTATACTTACATTACAATACGTTTATTTATACACCTAAGCTACCGATGGCACTAGGCTACAACATTGCAGATTCCTTCTTTGATCAAGTGCAGTTCTTATAACTACTTATAGCTACTACTTATAATAACTAATTGCACTCATATGTTGGGTACATATGAATGAACTTTTCTGAATCTTTATTTCATCAAAATCTTCATTTTATAAGAGCAGCATGGACTAGACAGGAGTCACCAAATAAGTCTTTTAGGGGACAAATACAGGCAATATTTGTCCCCTCAGATAAAAAGAACAAGTCCATGTGACCATGCCCGCTTTATAAAACTGTTTGCAGTGTGATTGATGCTTTGCCAGACTGAAATAACTGCGCAAGTGAATGTGCTCCGACAACATCAACTTTACAAAAAGATGGCGTATCCTCTCTTAAATAAGTATATTTTAGTCAAATTAACATATTTTGTTACATAAAAATGTAGTTTTAAATTCATATAGCTAAATATTTAAAAATAAAATAGCTAAAAATTTCTATCCCGAGCTGTTGATCGCCTAGTCCAAACGAATCTACCAGATTGGTCAACTGCCAGCCCGGTCAGTGTAGTAATCTTCCTTGTTTTTAAATTGTTTAATATTATACATGATGTGTACGTACATACCAATAAAACGACTTAGTTCATGTGCAAAACGTTATGGTGTGTAAGAATCCCACGAAAAAACGACTGAATTAAATGTTAAGGTTGGAAGTGCTATGACGTCTCCCATGCGGGTCGCGAGCTGGCCATTTTGCTCTAAGTTTATTATGAAGCAAAACAGATGATAAGAATGTTCATTATTCAACATTATAAATCAGTTTATACCCTCAATGGTGTAGTTATCCAGGAAGTGGAAACAGTTAAGGACCTGGGTGTAGTATTTGATAAAAAGCTTACATTTATACCACAACTAGAAAATGTAATTAAAAGATCATCTCAAGCATTAGGTTTTGTTATAAGAAATAGTAAAGAATTCCGTAATGTTACCACAAAAAAACTTTTATACTTCTCAATTGTTAGAAGTATATTAGAATATTGTAGCACAGTCTGGCGTCCCCATTATTCTACCCATAACCTTCGCCTTGAGCGCGTACAAAAAAGATTTTTATGGCATCTTGCCTTTTCAACACGAAAAGCATATAAAAATGCATCATATGTAGATAGATTAAAGTCATTTAAAATGGTATCACTATCAAAACGCCGGGACATTCTGGATTTGCAACTTTTATATAAAATATTTAGAAATAACTTAGATTGCCCTTTATTACTAAGTAAATTTAATTTTCGTATCCCAAGTAGATATCCTCGTAAATTCATTACTCCTCTTTCGCCGCCTCTTCGTAGAACTGTACTAGGATTTAATTCCCCAATATCCAGACTTTCCAGACTTTTAAATACCTATAATAATGTAGTAGATATTCACCACGACTCTTTTAATGATTTTCGGCACAAAATTTATCAAAATATTAATGTTTCTTTGTAAAAAAAAAAATTTCATTATGTATTAATTTTATAATTTTGTTTATTTTCTTTTATTTTAAGTTTGTATCGTATATTTTTAGCTATTTGGTAACGGCTTGTAGGAGATGCTGTGAACACTAAGCATGCGGTGTTCACCTATTATTGAATGTGCACTTAGTTTATATTACTATATTAGAATTAAGCATATATATCAGTGTAACATTTGTTGGTGAACCAAATAAATAAAAAAATAAATAAATAAAGGTCGGACCACAGGAACAATAGAGATGAAAAACATAATTGTTTCAAAGCAACATGAATTTTAGTAAATCTACATTTATGTGTAAGTATTTAATTTGAGATAAGTTTAATTGTTAAATGTTTTACCTGGAAAGTCCCGGTATGCCCCCGGCGAGTTGTCCAGGATAAAGACCCTGTTGAGGTCGTCGCATATCGACGATAGGTTTTTGGTGTAGGAGCCGTGCTCCGCGGTGCAGTGCTGTCTGCAAATGCAATGAAAAGCCATGTTGTATTTTATATTGTATTATGAAGAATTTTTGGTCCTAAAATTCGGATCTGAAAAATTCGACATTAAAAAGACGTTTTTCGATTTCGCCGGTTTTCTCATTTACCAATAGAGTTCCGAGTTGTAAGACTATACTGGAGCTGCTGTATGGATTCCTAAGTTTAAAATCATTCTTATCTTTAAATGCCCGTCACTATCCTCTACTTTTACTGGTGAAGCAACTGTAATCAGTGAAGCTTTGTTATTTTATTTTTTATAGGATAGGGTGACAAACGAGCACACAGTCCACCTGGTGGTAAGTGGTTGCTGTGGCCTATAGACATCTACATTTATCCTCGATTGCGAATCAAACAGCAGATGCGTTGTCACCCGTGAGGACAAGACAAGATGGAATGCCTCTTTTCCAGTAAAAGGGGTCTCCGGTTCTCTACACTCACCATACGAAACACAGCAGTGTTAATCTGCTATTTTACGCTGGTATTCTGTGAGAGGCGCGAGCCGACCCATTCGTGCTACAACTATACTACTAATATAGCTGCAGCATGACTACCACGTAAAAATGTCGAGTCGCATAATCTTAATAAAACAGTTATTTTCACAGATTCAAAAAGTTGCTTGTTAGCTATTTTGTCCAATCAATTCCATAACAAACATAAATTTCCACTAATTCTCAAAATAAAAATACCCTATTCAGATGCCATCTTAAAGGAATCCATGTTTCAGTAGCCTGGATTCCTGGCCACAGTGGTATCTATGGAAACGAAACAGCTGATATACTCGCTGAAATGCAATTGCTAATGGAATTCTACAAAATTTAATTTACTCACATGGCCTAATTTTGCTAGCTTAAAGGAAACTGAATGAAAATTGTGGGAAGTACCCAAAAATGTTAAGGGCCTTGTTTTTTTTTAATTTAACAAAGCAAGTAAACATGCAATTTCAATCATCTGTAGACTGCGAATTCGACATGTATTTCTATATACAATTGCACACATCATGTACATCTGGAAAAAATCAGAGTTAGGGATAGCTCATTGTGTGAATGTGGCTTAGATGAAAACCATATTTTTTTCAACTGTCCCAAACTATACTCCTCCCTCTATGTTTACCTTCCTCCTTATATTCCTTGACCTATAAATTTTAATTATCTTTTAACGCACACAAGTACCCCTTTTGTGTATAATTTATGTGATTGTATTAATACTAATAACATGAAACTTTAAATCCTTGTACTTTTAACATACTAATAAGAATCTAACACATGTGTTTGTCATTTGTTCTAGGTAATTAAACAGATAAGATTTGTCAAAATTCTAGGAGGAAAACTAAATCCTTGTATTATCACAGTTAATTAAACTCATAAGCTTTCATTTTCCATTCAATACGTCATTGGCGAATTTTAGCAAACCGCCACAAAAAGAAAAAGAAGAATAGAGTACACTTTTTTAGTAGTTCCAAAGAAATTTCAAACCAGATCCAAAGAAATTTACTATTATATTTTTTCAAGAATCCAATTTATTACATTAAAGGTCTCAGCCCACTAAAGAAAAAACAAGGCAGGAACCACTACGCCCACTATAAGGTGTTGATACCATGTTCAGGTATCATATTTTACGTGGTAGAGCCATGCTGCAGCTATATTATGGTGGTAGCACAAAAGATTCGACTCGACCGGGGCAGGACCACTCTCTCAAAAAATTCCAGCGTGAAAGAGCTGCTTAATGCTTTTGTGTTTCGTATGTAAGTGTAGAGAACCGGCGATCCTTTTTATTGGAAACAAGACATACTGGTTACGAGGCATTCCATCTTAGACGTCAGGGGTGACAATGCATCTGCATTTTGATTCTTAATCGAGGATAGATGAAGATGTCAATGGGCCACAGCATCCACTTACCATCAGGTGGACTGTGCTCATTTGTCACCCCTATTCTATAAAAATTATCATACCCATATACACGTTGATTGACCATATGTGCCCTGTACATGCAACATGTACATGCCAGATGTACATGTTGTGTGCAATTGTATATATAAAAGCATGTTGCATTTTTTTTGCTGTGGCAACCCCGGTGACAAATAGTTAAATAATTGGGCTCCCAAATAATTTCGTAAAAATAAATATTGTAATTGATAATTTCCACCTCAAATTTAAGTTATAGTTGTTAATTACGAACAAATTGTATTGTGTAATAAATAAAACTGGTAAATATTTAAATAAATAAATTTGTGTGTAAATATTTAAAAAAAATAAAAAGTGACAGCAGGTAACGAACATTGTTTAAAAGCTACTGTAATTCTTTTTTTTTTTTTTATAGGATAGGGTGACAAACGAGCACACAGTCTCCGGTTCTCTACACTCACCATACGAAACACAGCAGCGTTAAGCTGCTATTTTACGCTGGTTTTCTGTGAGAGCGTGATACTTCCCCGGTCGAGCCGACCCATTCGTGCTAGAACTATACTACTAATATAGTTGCAGCATGGCTCTACCACGTAAAAATCTACGATCTTGTAAATCTTGTTATCCCTTTTAATATTTACGATATATCTCTTAAGTGTCGTTGTTTTTGGATTTCATTTTGAATTGTTGTTTTGATAATTTAGTTTGAGATCTGTAATTAGAGTCCTACAATTGGAAGTTTGCTTACTCTGTTCCCTTGATTTTCCATCTTTGTTTTCTTTTACTATTTAAAATACATAGTAAAATGAATACTCGCAACGCCAAAACGCGCCAGATGGAGAACCAACTTCATCTTGTGCTCCAAGAACTGAGGGCGTCCAGGGAGTAGTGTGAGCTGTTACTTAAAGAAAGGGATGAAATAATAAGTATAATTTCGAAAAATACACAGTTGGAAAGTGATATAGTTAAGTTACATAGAGACTATACAGATATTTTAAAGGAAAAGGATCAGCTCCAAGGGACAGTCAATGAGTTTGACTGATGCAGCAAAGAATATGAGGAATCCCTCAGATTAATTGCTGCATTGAAATTACAATTAACTGAAGCTAATGAGCAAATTTCACAATTTAAACAATACATTGATAACTTGCAAACATTTAAAACTCAGAGTCTGTTCGAAGAGCTCGTAGAATGTAAATCTCATAAAACGTTACAACCCTCCACAACAATAGATTTGACTGATGATTATACCACATCAAGAACAGCAGAAAGGATTACAAGCAGCAGAAGAAAATTAAGAAAATATATAAAAATTAATAAATATATTAGGAAAGTGCAAAAATTAGTTAAAACTAAAATTAATATTAAAAATTATACAAATGTATGTAAGGAAAAGCAAGAGTTAGTAAAATTAAATTATATTCAATTGAGGTGGAAAACATGAAAAATTGTTATGAGACTGAAATGGAGTGTCTTAATTCAGAAATTTTATCACTTCAAACCTCATTACAAATTATGTCAAATAAATATAAATCTGCAGGGAATGAGATAAAAGAACACATACTGGCCATGGATAATCTGGTAAAGTCATGCAAATATAACGAGGAACGTTTTGACTCCTTATTAAAATATCAAAATGAATATCAGCACTCACTGCCAGGTTCTTTAGGGACAGTGTGTGTTAATAATATGACAAGCAGTAATACTTCATTTTCTTTACTAGTACCATAACAAAGCAGATAAATTTAAAAAGTAATTCATATAATGAAAAAAATAATATAATTGTGTATAGTGATGACATAGGCAAAAACTTGGGTATATCATTGAATAACTGTTTAAAAAGGCAACAAATAAGTAATTACTGCATGCCTGGAGCATCATTCAGTGATATTATGAATAAAATTTTAACTAGTAAATTTAACCCTAATAGTATATTTATAATTTTTGTTGGGAGAAGAGGCAATATGAACAAGAATCAATTATTAAAATATATTGAATATCTCAATAACATAAATGTGGTTAAAGTTATCTTGTTTACATTGCCTTACATAGAGGGGTGGCCACAGGAAAATAAACTAAGACATAATTTAAATTTAATGATGCATAACTTGACATGTAACAATAACTTAAATTTGACATTTAATTGTAAGAATAATAATGATAAATTTCATTTGATTGATATTAATAATTTAACTAAGAAGTTTTTGACAAGAGATAGGTATTACCTATTAAAGTATAGTTTAAGACTGGTAGCAAATACGCTATCTTATTATTTATATTTTAACTCAGCCAATGATTTGGCTACCTTGACACCTGCTTCTTTTGAGCAACAAAATAATTTTACATTTGATTTGGAACCAGTTCCAAGTAATTTAAATTAGATAATAAGACAATAGAGGTAATCTCTAGCAAAGATAATTTAAATAGCTTAGAATGTAACTTACCAATACATAATTATGCAATTTCACAATATAACAATAATAAAAACTGTATCAACCTGGTGCATCAAAATATACAAGGTATGTTAGGCAATGAATTAGAAATTGAATTATTTTTAAATTGTAACAGTATACATATTTTATGTATTACAGAACATTGGTTGAAAGATTACAACTCCATATTTAATTTCAGTAATCACCAGGTGGTCAGTTTGTGCAATATACTAAATAACGTGGTGGCTCCTTAATATTAGCTAATAAGTCCTTATCATGTAAAGAACGTAAAGACATTGTGAGCCTCTCTGTTGATCGTACTGTAGAAATGGCATGTGTTGAGCTTGAGCACCTTATTGTTGTCAGTGTTTACAGACCCCCATGTTCAAGTTATGATACTTTTGAAAAAATTATGGAAGAAGTTGTAGTTAAGCTTAATAAACAGAATAAATCTCTTGTGGTGTGTGGAGACTTTAATATCAATCTGCTGGAAACTTCAGCCATCAGTATTAAATTTTGTTCTTTGTTCAAATCCTATAATCTTAATAATTTATACTTTGAAGCTACACATATTGCAGGGTGTAGTGCAACTTGTATTGATAATATTTTTACAGGTGTTGTACCAATCAACAAATCAATTATTCA